TCGAGTTTACTTAGGGTTAAGTTTAAAGCACACGTGTGATTTGTAGTATCCATGCCATGGATAGAGAACATATTGAGGGTCAGTCAGTTATAAACTCTTTCTATGCCTGCGGACTGCTATGCCTCTCTTTTACTAGCAGCACCCCATTGCTTTAAGGGAGGCCTTCTGACCCCACTGTCTATGGCCATAGCTAGACAACTGCTAAGACTGTACTGCTCTTCTTCAGACAGGTGATGGGCCCAAGACCAAGCTAAGTCAGATGTTCCTCTTTGGGACTCTGACTTGAGGTTTAGTGCCGAAACAGAAAATAAGGGCCAGGATGGTGGTATACGCCTCTAACCACAGCACCGGGAGGCAGAGGTGGTGATACATGCCTCTAATCACAGCACCTGGGAGGCAGAGGCAGGCAGGTCTCTGAATCGAGGCCAGCCTCGCCTACACATCAAGTTCCAGGCCAGCCAGGGCTACATAGTGAGACTGTCTCAAACAAGCAAACAAAAACATTAATCAAAGGAGATTTCTATGAATGCTGATGTCCTAAGACCCTTCGTATTCACCTCTAGAACTATAGTCTAGAATGTGATAGCAACTGTGATGTGTACAATATGAACTTTATCTTCATCAGCAAAATCACCGGTATCCGGTATCCAGTAGCTCTGATGTGCCAGCGCCTCTACTAGAGACATAAGCCATGCAGCCTTTCTTCATCTGCACCATGGAAATCATGCCCATCCTACCTTCTCCCAGTCCTGTTTTGAGACAGTCTTGTGCAACCCAGACTGACCTTGAGTTCACTATAAATCTGAGGAGAGCCTTGAACTTCAGATCCTCCTGCCTCCACTTCCCAAGAGCTGGTATTATATGTGCACACTACTGCAACTGGTTTATGCAGTGCTGGGGATTGAACTCAGAGTCCCAGACATGCTAGACAAGCACTCTTCAAAGAGTGACACCCCCCACCCCTTCTTCTGGAGATTTTGTTTGGATAGCAAAGGAGATTGTGGTCATAAGCACTCTGAGCAAAAGTAAGGAGTTACCTGTGTCTCTTATAGATGTTGTTCTCAGGGCACAAGTCTGGAGGAGTCCTGGGAGGGTTAGACAAGAAGTCAGGATCTGGACCCAATTCACAAGCTGTGTAACAACAGGCAAGACACTTGTCTTCTCTGGGCTTTTGCCAGAGACTGAGACACATCTCCCTTGCTGGATGCGTATCTCCTCCTACTTCTACCGGCACGAGCCAGCCAATCCCCAGAGTAGATCCTGCAGGTTTGTAACCCTTTCTTCCTTTCCCGCCTTCCACATTCCTGGGAAGTTACCTAGAATATGCACTCTCACGATTGACTGCACTGCTCTGTGGCAGAGGACTTCACGGCAATTGCGTCCAGCCTTCTCCTCAGTTAGCAGACCATAAGGTCTGTTGGGACAAAGACCACATCATACCATATTCACATTGTATCCATAGAGACAGCGACCAGTGTAGATGTTCCCTGATCCTTACACCATTTGAAGGTTCCAGTGAATAACCTACATCTATTTAGTATGTATTATGAAAACCACAAATCTATTTTGTTTTAGGAAACCAGCTGTGCTAATTATCTGATGCTATGTCACAAATCACAGCTCAAACTTACCTGCTTTTTTTTTTTAAATCACTTGTTATTTCTATTTCCGTAGGAGAACAATTCGGATACGGTGCCTGCGGTTGACTTGCCTCTGCTCCACGTCTGAGACCTTAGGTGTAAGACCCAAAGGCCAAGGGCTGAACCTTCTGAGGACTCAGTTTACCACCTGTATTGATTGTCTCCGTTGGCCATGATCTACTGGAAGCTGTCAGCCAGAAAGCCCTCATGTGACATCTGGATTACTTGTGCTTCCTCACAACATGGCAGCTGGTGTCTTCGGAAGACAGCATCTCATTTCTGCGACCCTGCCGTGAAGGGTCTCAGCGCATCCACCTCCTCTCATTCTAGCCTTTAGAGTCCTTGAGCTTAGCACACGTTCAGAGGAAGGGGAATCAGACTCCAACATTCACAACGAGAGGGCAGAGAACTTGTGAACATCCTGTAAGTTCACCGTGAGCACTGGGTAAACACGAGACAGACATTATTAAGCCGAGAGGCAGTGTCACAAGGAGGCCTTCTGTTCTCAGTCTGGTTCTGCGGCTTGTTCCTGTGTGGGCTTGGGGAACTTGCACTCTGAGAGTCAGGCTTCCCCATGTACACAACAAAGAAGGAAGCAGCTGTTGATCTCTGGTGCCATTTGCATGCTGGACGCCCCTTGAGAGTGAGTTTAGGAAGAACCTGGCCTTCTGGAAACATCCCTAGCACTGACCATACCTGGTTCTTGACACTGGAAGCCACAAAAGGTTGTGACTGAAGCTCAGAAAGATCTGACACCAGGAGGAACTTTAAGGACCCCACGGAGAAGCATTAAGGGCCTGGGGATTCTCAGGTCTCTCTACTCTTGACATGGGTACATGCCTTTAACCCCAGCACTTCAGAGGCAAAGACAGGCGGATCTCTGTGAGTCTGGGGCCAAACCGGTCTGCTTATCAAGTTCCAGATCAGACGGTGCTACATAATGAGATCTCACCTATAAATAAATAGCTTAGCATGATTGACTAAGTAAGCAGCACTCCTCATGATTTTGCCTTGAATTCCATCCCTCAGTGATGGACTGTGACCTGGAAGTATAGACCAAAACAAATCCCTTCCACCCTAAGTTGCTTATCATAGTAACAGCAATGACATTAGGATGGAGAGGATACCTCCAGCCACCTACACACACACACACACACACACACACACACACACACAGCCCCACCCCCTACAGGTTCTGCTACCTCCAAATAACACCATCTGGGGATACATTGGTCTCTCAGAGACCTTCAATATCCAAACTATATCTGTGAGGAACATTTCTCCCAGATGACGGCTCTTCATACCAACTACTGGCAGGGGAAAAAAAGTTTTACACTGCTCAGCTGTAGATGTCTGGTAAAGTTCTTAGTTTGGGAGTTACACGCAGATCTGTGCTACAGGGAAAGGAGAGGGTGTGTCGGGTATACAGCATCCACATGCCACACACAACCCACAACCGTGCTTATCTGGGCAGGTCAACTCTCCCCAAACACTGCCTCCCACCCTTGTGTCGCTGTCTTGGTCCCATGATTGGGAAAGCTCTTGTCTCCAGCCAGGTGCCAGGGACTGGGATATCCAAAGCCAGAACTAGGGGCACACTCCCGGGATCCCATGCAAGTAACCGAAATAAGCAGAGCAAACTCTCAACCCTTACAAATCCTCCCTTGAGGAGCATTGTCGGAAGAGCAGAGTTCATCCAGCGTGACGGATGGGGAAACTGAAGTCTGCAAAGAGAAGAGATTTACAAAACGTCCCAGAGGAAAAAGGGCATGAACACCGTCTAGAACTCGCGGTTTCCAGGTCAGCATTTTTGATTCTATAGATGAGGGCCGCCCCTCCTCGATGTGTCTGTCCTTCAGGAAATTCCCGACCGCCCGCCACAATTCCTTCCGCGCCAGGAATCCCCCAGGAGTTTGCGCTCTATGTGACGGGGTGTAAACTTCCTCCGCAGCTCTGCACCCACTTCTCAACGCCCTAAGAGAGAGGTGAGAAGGAGGGAACGTTCAGGACAGTCCTGCGATAACTTGTAGCTATGGGGGGTAGTGGGGAGGCGGCAGCAGGAGGAGGACCCGGCGCGAACGCGCTGGCCCTTTAAGGGGGGGACGGGGCGCATGCGCGGCGCGGGCCGGAGTCGAGCCTGGTGGGCGGCGGGAGGCGCGGGGGACCCGGCCGGCGGCAGCGGTGGCTTCTGCTTCGCCGAGCCGGGACGCCGCCATCGGCCGGTGGGCTGCACCTTCATAGGCTGCTGCTCCCTGGGGATCGGTGCACCGACATCCTCCAGGGCTTTGTCACTCCGCCGCGGGCGGAGCCTACGGACCTGCCCTCGCACCCCGCGCGCCCAGCCCGGCTCAGCCTGGCCGTGGGAACCCCAGTGCAGCATCCTCCGACCGCTCACGCTGCAGCTGGTGGCGAGCGGCGAGTCTGCCGCTCGGCGACCTCAGCCTGGTCCCCCGCGAGTCGCCTGAGCCGCTCCCCACGATGGCTGAGCCTGGGGCCCCGCGTCCCTCTTTGGCTCAGCTGGGACCGAGCCGCGCCAGGTGCCCCCGGTATCCCCGCTGATCCGCTCCAGGCCGGGGATCGCAGGGCCCGAGCTCCCCGAGCCCTCGCCTCCCCGCCGCGCCCTTCCCCTCCGCCCTCTTTACTGCTGTTTCCCGGGGCTAGGGGCTAGGGGATCTAGACAAAGCCCCACTTTGTGCGGGAGGCGGGCGTGGAATGTGTACGGCGGCGCGCGCCCCCTCCCCGCCCCGCCAGCTGCGAGTCTTGGCTCCCGGAAGGGTCGCGACAGAGAAGTCGCCCCCTGCGCCGCGTCCCCCCCTGCATCCCCGATCCCTGGGGTCCAGACTGGGAGCTCACGCGGGCCCCCTCTGCTCGCGCCAGTGTGAGTGTGCAAGGATTCCGTAGAGGAATTTCTTCTCTCCAAAACCAGGAGTGGGCATCGGTGCCTTGGGCCTCCTTTTCAGCATTGCTGCAAGAGCTGTCTGGCCTCAGTCTCCCCATCCCCGGAACCCCACTTTTCTCCTCTCAGCCATCCTAGATCGCTGCGGGTCATTGTTCTTGCTGCCAAATGGGGGTGCTTTGTACAGGCTGCCAAGTTGGGGTGTGTTCTCTTCATCCAGTTTTTCAAACAAAACAGGGCTTCTAAGGCGGACCCTAGGCAACCCTCCTGGCCATCACTCCAAGCTGATGCGCTGATTCTTTCTTACCAAATAGTATTTTATTGTATAGGAGCCACGCCCTGGTTTCTTAAAGGCGCCCGGCACTGTTTGGCCATGTGTTATCTTTATAGCGGATATGTGGGAAGCCTCCTGTGAGGCACTTAGTTTTCCCGCCTCCTGATATATCCTCCCACCCCCATCGAGGATTTAGGGATGCCAGGGGGAAAGAAGGTGGTCCCGAGTGGCAGCAGCGGTGCCTCCCCGAATGCAGCCGCCGCCAGCGCTGCTGCTGCTGCCGCCTCCCACTCTGGCATTAAACGTTTGGAGACCAACGAAGGGGCCTCAGCACAGAGAGACGAGGAACCAGAGGAGGAAGGGGAAGAGGACCTACGAGATGGAGGTGTCCCTTTCTTCGTCAACCGAGGTGGACTGCCAGTGGACGAAGCCACCTGGGAAAGGATGTGGAAGCATGTGGCCAAGATCCACCCGGATGGAGAGAAGGTGGCCCTGCGGATCCGTGGGGCCACGGACCTTCCCAAGGTAAGACAGGGAGCAGGCAGGCACAATAAGGACGGGTTTTATTGACCTTGAAGCTAAGAAAATAACCCACATCTTGCTTCTGATGGAAACAGTAGGGGACCATTGGTAAGGTAAGATTTTTTTTTTTAATATAGGTAGGTGAAACCTGTCCAGAACTTTCTTTCCAGTGCTTTCGGGGTCATTTGATGAGGGAGGCTCAGTGCCCTATCTCCAGGAGGCCCTCTCCCATGGCTTTCTGGGTAGGACCACAGATGAACTGGGGAACCAATGTGGCTTGGCATCTTTCTGGCTCAGGACATTTGACAAGCCAAATAACAATGAGACTAAAGATGAATGACTTTATATGATGAGAAAATATTTTCATATAATATCTACTGAATTTGCCAAGCAACAGCCCAAAGGAAATAGTTTGGACTCCCTTTTAAGATGAGAAACTCAAAAGGTACGTGGGAAGTGGCCGAGCTGGGATTCAGCACCAGATCTCAGGGCTCCAGATGCTCAGCCCTGTTGGGTACCAGATTCAGGGGCATAGCAGTGACCCTGTGGGAAGAGAGGAGCAAAGTGTCCTTCTGCATTGACTAGAGCTCCTCTGCCACAACAGTGCCTCCATGGTGCTGCTCAGGAAGGGGAGGCTCTGTCTCATTCATCTTTGTCTTCTTGAGGTCTCCTGTGTGCCTGGCACAGGGCGGGCGCTTATGTGTGTTTGCTAAATGAAAGGGCATTTGGGTAGTGCTGTGCTGTGCAGTGCTATAGTGTGTGTGTGTGTGTGTGTGTGCGCACGCGTGTTAATGGTTATGTTTTGTCTAAGGAAGCACTCTGTTCCACATACTGAGGCCATTGGTCAGACCTATAGCTTATTCCTGAAGGAAGAGAGGGGAGAATGGAGTTCCTGATGCCTGGGGACCAGGCCTGTGTTGCTTTTGCAGGGTTATTGGCATAGCCATCAGAAAACTGTTTGGGGGAAAGATAATCCGAGGTTGAAGGTTGAGCTACTAGTGCCTAATGCCTCCCAGGGGAATAAGCTAGACTGACTTTGAATAGTTACATCATCGTCCTCTCATTTATTTAGCTAATCTGAACTGGACATTGTTTCCACTGTCTTATCCTTAAAACGAACACTGTGTTGAACATTCTAAAACACAAATTTGGGGATCCTGCTTTGATTTTTTGACCTTGGGACAAATTCCCGAACAAGAAAGTGTGACATCGCGGGATTTAGGTATTGTTTCGGATCTCCTGCCTGCCCACGTGAGCTCAAGGCAGTCCCCTCCAGCCTGCTTGAGCCACAGCTTTCTTATCTGAAAAATGGGCTGGTGGTGGAGAGGGTGAAATGAGAAACCGGGACTATTGTGAGGAGGGAGACGAGAGGCCACCCAAAGTATCTGGCTGATGAGACCAGAGCTACACACATCCCCCACAGCATCCAGCCTTCCTGGTTCTGTCTGGATTGGACCATAGGACAGTGGCAGAACGGTCACTGCTTTGAAGGACTCAATCCATTAGTGTCTTCAACAGTGATTGGTCAGTAATGTGGTCTTCAGGCCTCATGCTCGGGAAGAAAGGACAGGTTCAAAGGGATCAGCTGTTTGTTAAAGAGGAAAAGTGTGGAGTCAGGAGTGCAGCAAGTCAGAGAGAATTCTGAAACTTTAAGCCTTTTGGGAAAGCGTCTCAGATCGAGGAAATGGGGAAGCATGAAGCTCAACTGGAAACTTGGCCCAGGGAACCCTCAGGGTCCAGGGGATATGGAGGAGCCCTAGAGGCTGTGGAGAAGAGCAGCAAATATTGGGTGTCATACTGTGAACCACAGAAAGGCCTGAGCCTGGCCTGTCCCCTCCCTGGTGGCCTGCTGCAGAGGTCACACTGTTCTTGATGGGCCCGGGAACGGTTTCTTAAGATACACATTGTCTTAACAGACCGCTTGAGCCGAACAATAACATTGGGTGATTTCTCTCATAATGATCTATACTTTTTGGCATCTTTACAGGAAAGTAAGAGATATGGGAACAGCAAGCATATGGCAGCTGGCAGGAGGGGCTGGGCTATGTTTTCCCCTCCCTCATTTCGCTACAGCTTCCCATGCCCCCACCTGCTTTCCCCGAGTTTTACAGGCCAAGCCCCTGCAGGAAGCTGGATGCACAGCAGCAGGGCAGTGCAGTGAAAGGCAGTTCTCTGGGGGGAAGCCACCATGTCGTCTCACCCTTGCTGTCTCATGACTACTTACAAGAGGAAGGTGTGCAGCATCCTTGCTCCTTCTGCATCCCCTGGTGCACTGATCGGCGGCAGTGCCCACTTTGTGGGGATGTTGAGATGGACTGGTCATGGAAAGCATGTAACAAACACCTCATTAGGTGAGCGTCTAATAGGGTCCCTTCCACAGCAAGGGCATGCAGCAAGCCATAAGCACTTGCAGTATCTGCGAGAGTGAGCCCAAACAAGTTTCTGGAAGCATCCAGAAGCCAGCAGCAGGCTATGCTCCTTCATGAGAATCTCTCTAGCTGTTTCCAGCTGTCATCCCTTTGAAAGTCCAGCGACCACTGATCCAACCCTGATGCTGAAGATCTAGCTGCAGCTTTGACCACTGAGCATCTGCAGATGGGCATCCAGGCGTCTCTAGAGGGCCAGATAGCTCAGGGCAGCGTGTGCTAGACAGTCCTTGGCACACATCTGTAGCCAGGTGTTGGGCAGTGTCCTGAGGTGTCTGCTTGCAGTAGCTTGGTGATACCCCAGGCGGGTTCCGTGGCTGCACTTTCACAAGTGAGGAACATTCACCAATGAGCCCTCTGAGGCACTGCTGTTCAGGACATCGCTGAAATCACAGAGCTAGATTCCATAGCAGAGCCAGTTCTGCTCTGGTCATCACTAAGTCTTCCTGACTCGCCCCCAAGTCCAGCCACAGGCTCTCCCACCTCCCCTAAGCCTCCTCATTGTGTCGGCCTGAGGGACTCTTTCAGTAGGATTGTCCCACAACCCTGGACTGTCTGGTTCTGGGATCAAGCTTTGCCCTTGGGATAGTGGTCTCTAAGACATGCTTAGGATCCTAGGTCATGTCTGACTCTTCTTGCACAGCAACCTTCTTGACAGGTCCTTGATGGAGGCAGGTGTCCATGATGCTTTTGTGGGTACCACCTGGTCCTGGCTTGAGCCTGTTCCTAAATCTCTCTCCCTGAGCTCTGGCAAGTTGTTCTCCCATGGCTTTCTCCCTGTCCAGAGTGGTTGATGAGCAGCTGGGTACAGTTATACGGCTACAACTCCAGTTCTTGGAACCTACTCCCCAAGGAGGGGTGATTTTGCTACACTGAGTAAAAGGTAAAAGGTCAGCTTACGTGGGTGGAGATGCAGTACTACTTACAGAGGTTTGCTAAGCTATTTCTGGCCTACCTCCCCACCCCCATACCCTTGACCAGGATGGCCAGCCAGCCCCTCGGATAGTTCAAGTGCACATTTGGTGCAGAGTGATCCAGACAGGTGAAGGCAGGGCCCACCCTGAGCTTGTCTCCCGCAGGCGGCTATAAGTGACGGTGCCAGTTTGAAGATGGTACCGATGTGGAAGGGGAAGTAACCTCCCCAGGCTGTGGTATCTGCTGCTGGAGACTGCCCAGACAGGAAGCAAAGGACCCTGGGGAGGGAAGAAAGACATGCGAGACTGTCCCCGAGCCAGGGCTTTTCCTTCCTGCATCTGCACCCTATGGAATGGAACAGTATCTGCCAGAGACACCGTCCTGGTCTCCCACCACCAGAAGCACCCCAGAGACAAGTGTCTGGCGATAACCAGTGTGTCACTTCCCTTCCCGACAGAGCCCAGCCACAGCGACTAGAGTATTGTAAAATCCTCCTTGGGCCCAGCCTCTCATACCAACAATGAGTCCTTCCTTGCCCTATAGCCCCACCCTGAGTATACTTACTTGGGACTCCTGGTACATTTGCAACTAGGTGGTCACGGGGCAAACTCTGTATGGTCCAATGGCAGCCTGCTGGGAAATGATGGGAACTTACTAGTTAGATGTGGAGTGGGTGGGGAAAGGGTGTTTTGAAGCAAGACCCCACACTGTCCCGTCCCGTCCCCCCACTGCCATACTCCTTGACAGTTCAGGTTGGCGCTTTGGAAGTCCTGGCACACCTGTCCTGCCACGGACATCCCTGGCTGATGTCATATCCACCGGTCTAGGATAGATCCCCTAGCTTACGGTACCACGCGGTAGAATGGCACACCGTGGAAACCAGTTTTGATCTGGTGCTCGAGCCACAGTGTATTAGGCTGTTTTTCTCGTTGCGATAATGAAATGCCTGAGGCAGGACACTTAGGAAGAAATGAGGTTTATTTAGCTTGTAGCTTTGGGGACTGGAGGGGCCTGTGTTGGTTGAGACTGTGGAAGGTCTGATGGCAGTGGATGACATCACGACAGGAGCATGGGGAGGCAGATCACACTGGATGATCACAAGAGGCCATAGGATGGAGGAGCTGGTTCCTCCCCTTTGATGACAATCCTGAGAACTGCCTCTGCCTTTCCCATGGTGTGCCTGCAGTACCCCAATACTTTTATCTAGAACCTACCCAGGGACAAAGTGCCTAACACCTTTGCCACATCCAAGCCATAGACCAGAGTGGAACCCCAAACCCAAACAAATTAGCCCCAATACGGACATTCTTGTTAAGTATCAATTAATGTATATTTTAAATTTAATATAGGCAGTCAGTGGATCCTGCCGTTTTTTTTTTTTTTCTAAAATTATTTAACAGCGTAAAATTGCAAGGTCAACCTAAGTTCCACATAGAAGTACAGTCAGGTATCAGGGATGGCTAAGCTGGAGGTCTGGGAGGAGACTTGGGAAATAAGGGCTCCCAGGGAAAGAGGCTCAGAGTAGGAGCCTCCCCTGTCTGTTGCTCTGGGGGCGCTGGAAGCTCCAGGGTGTGCCTATCCATGTGACAGAGCTTCTTTCCTCCATCTGTTTCTAGATTCCCATACCAAGTGTGCCTACTTTCCAGCCGACGACGCCCATCCCCGAGCGCCTGGAAGCCGTGCAGCGCTACATCAGGGAGCTGCAGTATCCTCTTGGGTCCGGAGCCCTGGCCACCACTTCGTGACAGCCCCAAAGACCAAGTGGGGCCTGGATAGGGATCCTCAGAGCCAGAGCTGCCATTCACTGGCATTTCTGTTCCCTGGAGCTGCCAAGGCTGTGTCTGAGTGCTGGACCCGCTCCAGCTTCTCCAGCACCAGTTTCCCCATGTTCTGTGTACATGCGTGTGTGTGCGTGCGTGTGTGTGTGTGTGTGTGTGTTTCTGTGTTTGTGCGCGTGCGCCTGTAGGGAGAGAAGGGGCCTTCTAAGTACCTTGATGAGAAAAGGGTGTCAGCTGTCATTCATCCTGCCCCAGCAAAGGGACGGAAGAAGCTCTTTGGGGCTATTGCAGTGCTGGGTTTGGGAGGATGGGGAAGGGAAAAGGACCTTTTGCTCCAAGATATATTATCCATAGCTTGAAGTTTCCTCCCAATTCTTGGCACTTTTTTTTCCCTGGCAGCAGGCCAGCTCCCTTATGTCTCTGCTCTGGGCCCCTGGAGCTTCTGCCCGAGAGCCATGCATCCTGGGTTCTGTGTTCCTTACTTGCTTGCTCCTTGTGGCTCATACATCCTGCTTTCTTAGAGCATCCAGGACCACCAGCCCAGGGGCTGCACCACACACGATGAGCTGGGCCCCCTCCCCACATCAATCACTAACTAAGAGAACTCATCACAGGCCAGTCTAGTAGGGGCGTCTTCTCAGTTGACGGTCCCCTTTCCCAAATGACTCTAGCTTGTGCTGAGCTGACACAAAACCAGCCGGCACAGGGGAGCTGGTGGCCTTCCAGCCTTCTTAGCTGTTTGGAAAACCCAGTACTCCAAGGAGCTGCCCCCAGCTAAGGCTTCTTTCTCAGCCCCGCTGGGCTGGCTGCCCACTCAGCGTTGTGTGCTGAGACAGGAGGGCAGGAGAGGACGAGGGAGACCGCAAAGAGTGGGGAGAAGCACTGCGAGAGCAAGGAGAACCCCCATGCTGGACCCTAGCCCCTGTTCCCAGAGAACAAGTCCTAAGTGGCCCGTATGGTACTCTGTGGTAGATGTTGCAAAGGGGTCCTTCTGTAGCCATCCTGCCTCTGGGGCGGCAGCCAAGGGAAAGACACAGCCTTCCCGACCAAGCCAGGACGCCCTTAACCACTGTCCCCAGGTACAATCACACGGGGACACAGTTCTTTGAAATTAAGAAGAGCAGACCTCTGACAGGGTAAGTACCAGGCCTCTGGCCGGGCTCTCAGGGTTTCCCCACCCTCCCCTTGGGTTTGATCCCACTAGGGAACCTCGGTGGTTTGCCTTTGAGTGACTGCTTAAGAAGGAAGTCAGGGACTTCCCTGAGAAAAGCCAGCCATAGGATGGGGGAAGGGCGCTACCCTGGGAAGGGAGATCCCAATGAGATAGCCACCCAAGGCTTAGGAAAGCAAAGCTCAGCTGAACTAGTAAGTAGGGTAACCCCCCCTCCCCAGGTTGTCTGGCAGGTGCTGTGGGCAGGGCAGGGGTGGGGTGGGAACAGGGAAGAACCTCTCCCTCCTATTTCCTTGAAGCCTCCCATGCACCCTGCATCACATGGTACCTATATACTTACCCAGTTTGTCCTGGATTCTCCTGGTCATGAAGTAGAAAGTCCAGTGTCTAAGCATCAGATCACACAGGAAAGAGACTGCATCTCTCACTTCCTAGCCTGTCGTGACTCAGCATTTAGACTCAGCATGTAGACCGAATCTCTTATTCTAGATAGTCTGTTTTAAGGTGCTTAGTTGTGGCAGGGGGTGAGGGGTGCCCTGAATTGCTTATTTAATTAATTGCCCAGTCTAGAAATTCTTGGATCGAACCCACCTTCTCTGATCCTGGGCTTTGCTCTTGTCCATCAGTTGCTGCTGTGTGCTGGTGTCCCATCCCATCTTCCCATTGGTTACAGGAGTCCCAGGCAACACCAGTGGCCAAGCTGAGGCCCCAGACCTGGAGGATAGGCTGTTTTGAAATGGCCTAATTTTTGCCAGGTGGTGATGGCCCACACCTTTAGTCCCAGCACTTGGGAGGCAGAGGCAGGCGGATCTCTAAGTTCGAGACCAGCCTGGTCAACAGAGTGAACTCCAGGATAGGGCAGCCGGGGTTACACAGACAAACCCTGTCTAGAAAAACAACAGCGGGCGAGGGCTAAATTCCAGGCTCAGGGGCAGGCAGGGACAGCTGTCTTCCCGAGATCCTACATCCAGGCTGCAGAGATTACTTTCCATCAGTTAGCGAGTTCTTCGGCCACTGGGGTTGGATGAGGCGTGTTTGCTGGCTGTGCTCAGGAAGGGAAACCATCAATGCTAAGCTTCTCACCTCCCCTCAGCCCTATTGCACTGCATGGGGCCCGCCATGCATGTTCCTCTCTCCCGGAAATCTAAGCAGGAGCCCAGCTAGAAAGGAAGAAACGAAGGAGGGAAGTGCAGAGAGAGTAGGGCCTACTTCCTGAGCTCCAGGGCCTGCCCCCGAGTCACCCCCTGAGACTCTAGACTTGGGAGGGGGAAGGAAACACCAGGCCCGGGAGGATAAAGGCTTGGAGAGCAGTCTCAGCCTAGTCTTTCTGGCTCCTCACCAAATAGAGCCTGAGGGGCCTGAAGACGCTCGCCACACGGCTCCGCCTCCCTTTCTCATAGGCTGATGGACCTGGCCAAGGAAATGACCAAAGAGGCTCTGCCAATCAAATGCCTGGAAGCTGTGATCCTGGGAATGTATCCTTCCTGGGGCCCGGGAGAGAGTGGTTCAGAGTGCCTTGGCTGCCTGCTGTAGAAGGGGAGGGTCTTCAGGGCTCGGGGCTCCCACCATTGCTAACCTCTCTTGCCCCCCAGCATGGAGCGGCCTCCCGGAGAGGAGGAATCCCTGCAAGAGAGAGGATCCTTGAGGAGGTTGTCGTCTCAGTGTTCCTCTTGATACCATGCCAGGCCTGCTGGATAGCAACATAGACAAGGTGACCCTGGTTTTGGCACTCCACATCTGGGTACAGTGTTGCATTCTGGCTCTGGAGCCGTTTCTAAGTCCAGCGGGAGGCCCGCTGTTGGCGCGTCCAGATAGTACTGATCTGTAGATAACGCAGATGGCGTCTCGGAAATAGAACTACCTGCAAAGATGCACAGGGTTTCTCGCTCAAACCCTCCCAGGGCAGGGGAGCACCTGGGAAGGCTGGCAAGTCTCCCCCGAGAAGCAGCCCTCAGCGGGGGACCCCAGTCAGGGCTGGGGAGGGAGACAGGTATCTGTGGCCAGTTTGTCCCATTTAGGGACTCTTTGGCACTCCTTACACCATCCTGCCCTGGCGCTTTCCATAACTCACCGCTTCACCAGTTACCTCACCAACAGCATGCCCACCCTGGAACGTTTCCCCATCAGCTTCAAGACCTATTTCTCAGGGAACTACTTCCGCCACATTGTGCTGGGGGTGAACTTTGGGGGCCGCTATGGAGCCCTGGGCATGAGCCGAAGGGAGGACCTGATGTATAAACCTCCAGCCTTCCGCACACTCAGTGAGCTTGTGCTGGACTATGAGGCGGCCTATGGCCGCTGCTGGCATGTGCTGAAGAAGGTAAAGCTGGGCCAGTGCGTATCCCACGACCCCCACAGCGTGGAACAGATTGAATGGAAGCACTCGGTGCTGGACGTGGAGCGGCTGGGTCGGGAAGATTTCCGCAAGGAGCTGGAGCGGCATGCCCGAGACATGCGTCTCAAGGTTAGGATCAGCAGTGGTCCCCGGGGCCACTGTCAACCCTGCATCCTCATAGGATCGCCATGCTTTTGCTGGCTTGCCCGGACCAGTAGGGGCTCCTGAGAATGAAGTATCTATCTGGACTTGGGATCAGGCTTTACTCAAGAAAGTCCTGCGGTTGAAGTTGAACCTTGGGTGGGCAGACCAAGAACCCTACTCTAGGAGGAGGAAGGGAGTGAGCGGCTTTTGCACAGGCATAGGCTTGGACATATGAAGAAAAGGGACATGGTACATCGGGCCAGGGTGCATTGAATGGAAGAAACTGTGCCTGGCCTATCTGAGTGGGTGGCAGAGTAGGGTAGTGAGTCTCTACAGCCCGACTGCACTCTGACCTGCTCCTTCAAACCCCTGTGGTTAACATTGTCTTCCCCTAAGGTAGATGCTGCCCTAGGCCTGCAACAGAGAAGTTCTCCGTGCTGAAGCCACTCCCTTCTCCCTGGCCCTGCACCCCCAGGGTTCAAGTGTTTTCAGAGAGCCTAAAGATTCCTTCCTCAGTGCTTTTGACCCAGCCTGCTCAGCACTAGACTCCCCATGTTGCTTCTTTTGCAGCTCCCCATTTGTCTGGGAGAGAAGAAAACTCAAAACAGGCTGACCATACTACATAAAGGATGACTCACTTTTTTGTTGTTTTGTTTTTTTCATTTTGTTTTTCTGAATCAGAGTTACAATTACCAGTCTGGCATCTGATTGACCTAAGATAGTCAGTGTCACCGTCGGGCTGGTAGGACTTGTCCCAGAGCATTTCCCATAGCCCCATCTGGCAGGCACAACTGCCTTTAAAGATGTCTTCCAGTCCCGTGGCAGCCCAGTGACAGCTCCCGCAGTGTGTTCAGAACCCTCACAGTAGACAGCCCTACCAAGAATCTACTGCCCTGGTGGTTTAAGTGCCAGGGTGACCCAGAGACAAGGCAAAGGCCACCTGAGGCTTGGAGTGCACAGTGCCCAGGGCAGCTTCCAGGGACACTCCTGACAGAGCAGAGTGGGCCATGGGGCGGCCCAAAACATGCTTTTGTTTCTTCCTCCCCATCCAGATTGGCAAGGGGACAGGCCCTCCCTCTCCCACCAAGGACCGGAAGAAGGATGTTTCTTCTCCACAGAGAGCCCAGTCCAGCCCGCACCGCAGGAACAGCCGCAGTGAGAGACGGTGAGAAAGGAGGCTTCTCTCCTCTTCCTGGCCCCTCCTCACTCCTCTTTTCTTCCCATCCATTTCTCTTTGGGAAGTCACGTGGGTTGCCGGGTCCAGGCGTTGGTGTGTTGGCATTGCCTCCAGTGGTGTGGTGCCATTTCCCCTAAAGAAAACACCCTCAGTTGTCTGAGGTAGACAGCAGAATGGACTGAAGTGGGAGGATGGATTCTGTGGGGTTCCCACAAGGCCCTGAGCACTCCTGTGGTTTGCTGACGGGACTCTATGACCCAACTGCACAGCCAGGAGAGAAGGCTTCGAACACAACTTTTGCCCCTGTTCTCTGGGTTTTTTGTCTGGGCTCAAATGGCAAGATTTGCTATTTAAAGAGCAGGCCTCTCGCTCTGGTGCCCTTTCCCACAAATCATCCTGACTCTTGCTTTAAGTATAACTGTCCCTCTGGAGTCACCTGTCCGCTGCGAAGGGAGGGGTGCTGAGCAGACCTCTGGCGCTAAAACACCATCACCCTGAGCAGAAGGCTGTGTGACAGCTGTAGGGAATATTACCTAGGACACCTAGGCTGGCTGACTGTGGCTCCAGAAACAGTCCCTATCCCCTCTGCTGCTGCTGTAAAGACCCCTTAGAGGAGGGAAGCCAGCTGGACAGCCCTCCCTCCCTCTCTCCCGCCCTCCCTCCCTCTTCTCCATCTCCCTAGGAACCACTCGCTCTTCTTCTGAACCCCCTGTTTCTCTTCTGCAGGCCGTCAGGGGAGAAGAAGCCTGCAGAGCCCAAAGCCATGCCAGACCTCAATGGGTACCAGATCCGGGTGTGAGGCTGCTGCCAGCACCCCCAGGCCTCCTCTGCTTCTGGAGGCCCTGACCTACCTGCAGGAAAGAATCTACTTCCTTCGGGCAGGGGCTGGTGATTGGGTGGGCTAGGGGGTGGGAGGCAGGAAGGATGCCTTGCAGATCAGCCCCAGGTGACTTCCCCTCTCACGGAGCCAAGCCCCTAACCTTGGGCCCAAGAAGCAGTTAGTATTTCATTTGGAGTTTTAACCCTACAACTGAAGTTTAAGGTATTTGGAGGGAAAGGCACGTGGATATGCTGGTAGCTGGCAAGGCTTGCTCTCTCTGCGCACTCTGTGGCTTGGGGAGGAGGGCTTGCTGGCTCTGTAGTGCTCCAATCAGCAGTGATGAGGTTGGCGAGCCTCGCCAGTCTGTGGGGTGAGGGTAGGGTGGGGTCGGGATGGAGAATCATGACCCAGGGAAAGGGAAGCAGGGTAGGGGTCCCCCTGAGAAAGGTCCATGTAGTCCTCAAATCAGGAACGTGGCAGAGGACACATCTGTTTAAGGTGGAAGCCTATGATCCAGGAGAGCCCTCGGGTCAGCGTGACTCTTTAGACAGCACTGTGCCCCTCCCAACACATACACAGGCACACACACACACACACACACACACACACACACACACTGTCACCATAGCCAGTGTATGATTAAGCTCTAGGCAGACAAGGAGAGGACTGTTCAGGGAAGAGTTCCTGGCCCCTAGCACACTAGACTGGTTCAGTCTAGACTCTTGCTGCAGCCTGGGGACTCCTTGCAGAAGGGCTGGACTTTGTAGAGCGCCCAGAACTGCACTGAGGATACCATGACCTTGAGAAACTGGCTGGGGCTGGGGTAGGTGAGTGGGGGCCTCTAGTTGTGTGAGTGGGCTCTTCTCTCCCATTCTAATCGTCTCAGCCCTTGCTGGGGAAACAAGACTAGACCAGGATGCCTAAACCCAAGGCCCACCTTCCCTTCCTTAGCTGCCCATTTAGGCTTGGGGTGATCCCGGATAGGAAAGTGAGGAGTGGAGCGCAGCTGTCAGGGCTGGGGGAGGAGAGACAGCTCCGGAGTTGGGAGTGTAAGTGAGACAGTGGGGGGCAGTGCAGGATGGGGCCCTGTGGGGACTGCGTTCCCTGCAGCACAGACAGTGCTTGTCAGGTTGCTGGAGGCTTTAAGTGACGGGATAGCAGGATGAGGTGACCGTGAATGGGCTTTCCTGAGAAGCAGAGTCAGCCAGAGCAGCTGCCACGTGGCTGCAGAGGGTAGAGGGCTTGGTTAAGAGCAACCGAACTCAAATGCCTGCAGGACCAGCAGATGAGGAAGAGTTCTGGGTGGGACTGTGTCCAGGAAAGAGCACACCCTGTTAAAGTGGGCTGCTATGTTCTGCTGTTCCCACAGGGCAGACCCTATGTGGTAGTTTTTTTTTGGGGGGGGGGGTGTGTGCTTTGGTTTGTTTGTTTGTTTTTTTAAGGCCAGGGCTCTGAATTAGAACATGAATGGTAATTTTTTAAAAATTAACAATCCGTTCAAGAAATGATCGCTATAGGTGAGAATAACCGGCCTCTCGGGTAGAGAGCTTGGACTGGTTGTGGGGAGACTCCTGGGTGCTGTGCGTGGAAAAGTGGCGGTTTTAAGTTTCCCAGAGGCAGAAAGGGCCTGCTTCCTATGTCATCCCCCTTACCCCACCCTACAGAGACCATGCGTGTGGTTGCTGGCTCACAGAGGGGGTACAATGGGATAGAACGGTGAAGCTTGTGCCTGCCAGGAAATGGATGGTGGCTGGAAGTAGGAGGGGGAGGGAGGAGAGGAGGAAGAGGGAGAGAGGGAAGGGGAGGAGGGATGCCTTTGCTGCTGACCTGTATCACACAGAGGCTAGCTGCCCATCACACCAGCAACTCCTAGACCCAGAGACAAGCCCGTGGAACCCAGCACAAGGAGCCATGGGGGGGGGGTGGCTGCTTTGTCCCTTGCCTCCCCTGGTTCCTCCTGGGGTCAGAGGGTCCCTGGGAAGTGCATAGCCTTCCCCTAGGCTATACCCCTGGCCAGGCCCATGGCTGGAGCCCCAAAGGGGCATAAGACTATTGGATCTGCTTCAGAGTTCAGGAAATAGGGCAGTGGTCCCCATGTTCCCGTGCCTACTTCAAGGCTGGACAAGATCTTTTTTGGATCTGAACATGGCTGCTTATCCGTAGCCCTGTATGTCTCTGGGAACGTCAAGATGTGACAGAATATGAGAGAAAGAGCTGTAAGGGGATCTGGAGTCAGGTATGTGGCCCGGGAAAGAAGGGAGCAGGTGGGTGGGGCACTGACTTGTTCTGGGTGTGGGGGAACAGCTGATGGCCAGTATGACCCCCCCCCATGCTGTTCCCCTCTCCTGAGCTAAGGACCTCCGGCCTGTAGAGACTGTCATGGGCCACCATGGTGCTTTTTACTTTTTACTCTTTAGTCGTATGTAGCAAGTCATCCTCCCCTCGGAGGCCGTTTACACAGGCTGTGCTTTCTGGGGGCTGGCCTGGCTGGATGGCTTCTGGCAGAGGCAGGGGCAGGGACTTTGGGGCCTTAGTCACCACCCATGGCATCACTTCATCTCACTTCCTGTGAGGGACAGGGATCTGGCAGGTGTGACCCCAGGCTCCTGGCTCACACCTGCCTTAGCTTCTCGACCCGTCCTTGGGGACTGCTGGCTGAGGAGGGTCAAGGTGAGGGCAGAGGTGTTGTTCAGAACCCTGGGAAGCCGTCTTCAGAGAACCTTCCTCTCTACCCAGCTACCTGCCAGTCCTTTCCCTCCAAAACCTCACATTCCCATGCTCTCCTGTTTCCTCATACCAGCCACCCATCCTTAGTGGGCATGGCCAAGTGGGCAGAGCGGCAGGCCCCTGGCCCCAGACTCGATGATGAAGCCTAGAGACTGGGTACTGAGGAGCAGACTCAGAAAACAACCATGGCTGATGTCTAGTCCTTTCTGTCGTATCGCGCCCCATCCCCTTCCAGCTGGGATGACTTCCGGCTCAAGGGAATAGGTCTGATGATAGCTGTGCAGTGAGTGCCCTGAGGACTGTGTGCGTGTACACCTGGCTATCCTGCCTGGAATGAATTCTGGCTTACCGCATGCCTGCCCCACCCTGACATGCTGCCAGTGGTGTTAAGAGTACAAGGATGTGCAGGTGAGAACCAAGAAGCCAGAGGTGTAAAAGGCCAGGCTATTCTAGGAGGAGTAGGTGGGAGCTAAGGGTTAACCCTGCCAGATACCACAGCCTCTCCCCAGCATCTTGGGGCAGGTGGGGCTGCCACAGGGTTAGCTGCAAGTCCCCTGCTAGGACCCTCTCACTCCGTCCAGCTCAGTGCTTTGGGGTCCCAAGCCTCCTTGTTAAGTCTAAAGAGAAGTCTGGATATAGTCGAGCCCTGGGCCCATGATGATGGACATCCACCCGCTGTGCTTTGTCTGACTGCTGTGTTGTCCTCGATGTCGTTATCCGTCTTTGTATCAGTATTACCCCTGCCTTTCACCGTGCACTCTGTCTCATTCCTTTCTTACTTTCTTCCCCGAAATGAATAAAGTCTCCCCAGCTCCTCTTGTATGGGCTGGCAGAAATCACATGGAACCTTGTCTGCTTCACTTTGGGAGCTGGAGCCCAAACCCATTCCCACACTCATCAGCCTCACTGACTGCAGGAAGAAGCCAAGATCCTAAGCAGATGGGAGGAGAACCAAAGAGTGGGGAACAGGAAGCCTCCTAGCCCTGGCAAGCTGTGATGGGATTTCTGGATTCTGACTCTCAGCCTCTCAGCGCTATTCAGCTCTTGCTAGCCCTAGTCGGGGATCATGTTTTCCATCCTGCTGGCAGGTGCCTCTTCCTCACACAGCTCCAAGGATAGAGCCATGCCCTAGCCCTCTCAATAGTTGCCCTTCTATAGCTTTGGGGAAACCTCTGGACCCACCACTGTCCTCTCCATTGTCCTTTGGCTCTGAGCCTCTTGTTCACTCACACTAAGTGCGAACACCGGAAACCAAGCCAACACTTATAAGAATGCAGCGTTTGTCAGCTAGACTCACTCCCCGTGCCTCACAAGGGTAAAATGTAAACTGTAGAGAGGAGGCCGTGTTACAGGACAGCAAACCCCACCTTGTCCTGGCGAGGACGGTTTTAACCCAGCAAGCCTCTGTCATTTGCAGGGCTGTGCTGACCAGATCACAGTGCCTGGGGTCAGCACTGCAGCTGGGGAGGAGAGGCGATCTGCTAGTATCTAGGGGTAGCTTGACCCCTTAGTTTAAGGTGACCACTTAGATTGAGGCAGTTGTGTTACCAGCTAAAATACCCGCCCCCAACTTAAACATTTGCACAAAGGTAACTGGAGTTTGTGGATGTGGTGAATTCACAGAATTCCATGAGGGTGTGCTGTCTACACATGTAAGTCTAGCTACAGTGAAACACAGCACAGGACTTGGTGGGAAGCCCAAATGGGCCTGGAATTATTTCTGAATTCGGGGATAGGGATGAGTTGAGGTGAGCCTAGGGCATCAGGGAACCAGGTTCATCGTGGTCACTGGTAAGCCACTTTCATAGAATGCAGATGTATTGCTGCTGACCTCTGGGCTGCTCAGAACCCTTTTCCTGGGGGGAGCATTTGCCTTATTTTCTGCTGCCTGGGCTCTCCCAGGCACACAGCCCGCCCCTTCCTCATTCAGGCACGTGACTAAATTGACACTTCCCCAAAGCCCTGAAGAGACTGAAGGACTGACACGCCCTTCCCATCTGCCAGGACCTAGCATTTCGACTGCTGTGGAGGGCAGTGGCAACGGGAAGCAATTGTCATACCAAGGACCAAGACTGACCCAGATGCACTAAGGTTGCCTGGCAACACTTAAGTGTTTGCCAAGGGGGTGGAGAACCAGCTGTTAAGGCCTGACAGGTGGAGGAGACAGAGCGGCTAACTCGTTGAGCCAGCCCACACACGACAACTCTTTGCAATTCCTAGCCAGAGAGAACTTGCTAATGGAAAACCAGATTTCCAGACTGTAAGTGTAATAGAATATAAGACGTCATTCTCTCCAGAGCGAGCTCAAGTCTCGCTCGGTGGGTCACAGGGACTGGGAGTAGGACAGAGCGGCCAGCTTCCCTGCAAAACACATGGAGTTCACACTCTTCTGCCCCCGTGTGATCTGAACCTCACCAGGCTTTCTAGATGCCCCTTGTCTTCAGCAATCAAAGGGCAGGCAAAGGTGCCGCAGTCCAGACAGCGTTTTCCTGGTAGAAACCGTGGAGAAGGGCTTTCATGCCCCGGGGAAAAGAGAAACTGCAGCGTAGATTACTTAACACACCAAAACCCAGTTCTCCAGTGGCTCACTGCATACCAGCACAGGAACTGGAAAGAAAAAGCGGAAGAAGCTGGTTGACCGGATCCCTTCCCTTCCCTCCAGCTGAAAGCTGTTTCCGAGCTCTTCCAGGCCCCTGCCCTACAGGGCAACCTGCAAGAAAGCCTGGCTCCCCTGTTCCTCTGGGAAGGCTATGTCTGAGGAGCATAAATCGGCAAGAAATCAAGCCAAGCTTCAAGACTCTGAGCTTGTCGCTGGGTGAAAGAGTTGTCAAGGCCACACCCCTACTGCCTCCTAGTGGGAAGGGGAAATCGCTCCATAAAGTGTTTGTTGTGCAAGCCTGAGGACCTGAGTTGGATCCTTAAAGCCAACGTAAAACTGGGCATGGTGGCACATTCTTGTAATCCCAGCCCTGGGGAAGCAGAAGGGATCCCTGGAGCTTACTGCCCAGCCAGTCTAGACTACTCTAACTCCTAAGTCTAGACTCCTAAGCCATTGAGTGGGTCCTGTCTCAAAAAACAGGGTGGACAGATCCTGAAAGATGGCACCCACAGTTGGTCTCTGATCGCCACATGCACGCACACACATTCGCAAACATCCATGCACACGTGCACCCACCTGAACATGTGCCCGTGCATACACACACACACTAAGTGGAAGCTCAGTATAAACTGTTAACCAAAATTCTGAGAGTGTGTGTTTAGGGATTGAGGCACTGGGGGACCCTCCATGCAGGGAAAAAGTGCACTAGAACTGTAACTCAAAGCCTGGAGCATTCAGAGACTTCCCGGCCCATGGGACCAATCATATAACCTTCCTGGGGACAACCATCCTCCCCAGTCTACCAGAATTTTTTGGCATTCTTAGCATCCCTTCCTTGCCACGGCACTAGCAACACAAACCTAACCCCCCCTCTCAACTTCCTTTCACCAAAGGATGCAAACTGAAAGGCAGAGGGAGTCAGTGACTTACCTACTCATCAACCAATCTGGCCAAGGTAAGGCACCCTATTCCAAATCCCTGGATAGAGTTGCTTTCTCCTAAACCAGTGGATTCTGATCCAGAGTGCGCCAGCAGCTCTAAATATTGCCAGGTCCCTGGAGAGACACTGCCTCGTGATTGAGTACGGGACTGACAAGCTGTGGAGGTAGGACAGAAAACCACGGCTCCTCTCACGAGGCCTTGGCTTGGTGTACTGCATACGAAGACGAGGGGAGGACATAAGTACTGGCAGTTAGGCCCAGCAAGGAAGAGAAGTGTTTCCAATGACAGATGGCCGCAGCTCAACCCTGGCTCCGACTACAAGAGATGATCAGAAATAGACACCCGACAAGGGGCATCCGCCACACACATCATGCCTCACGCAGCTGCCACTGCTTTGACCAGGAACATCCCGCTTTCCACACCGATCCATCTGCAAAAGTCTACAGTCTACAAGACGCAGAGCGGCAGATGGAGTAAGAGTGAAAAGCAGCTAAATTAGAGCCCTGCTCTTCTCGTGGGGGACAGAGAAGGCAGCTGCACTCTGCAGAGGGCAGGGTGGGGGACTTCACTCAAACCCTGTTCCTCCCAAGCCCCAGAGCACAGGGAAGAAAACGGGCAGATGGCAAGATTTTCTGTTCTCCATTTAGATCCTAAGGCCCCATCCTCACTTAAGGCCCCACCCCCAGGATCCTCAGACCCTCTCTCTGCCCTCCACATCCTCCAACCTTCTCTCAAACCCCATGCCTCTCAGAGTCCTAATGAAAAGACCAACCATGGAAGGGGTAATGATAAGCCTTTATTTGGATAAACGTTGCCTGGTTCTGCCGGCTACAGAGTGCAGTTTAAATGCCATTTAAACCCCCACACTTCATTTCTAAAACAGAAACAAATAAGAAACAAGGAAAAGATAAACCATCAAACTCTGGCCCTCCACCCTCCACTTTCCTTAGCAGCTGAACCTGCGTTTCCTGGCAGAGGGAATAGTCATTGGCCCTTGTCCCGAGAACCAACAGGGCATGGTCGTGAAACCATCTCAGGAGGTGCCCAGAGAGAGATGGCGAAAAGTGGGCTGTGGACAGACGGGCCTGGGGCTCAGACAGGCATACATCCAGTACCCAGAAAACAAAGCTTAAAAGTAGACACACACAGGAAAAGAAGTTCCCCAGAGCCTGAGCTTGGGGAGCTGAGAGTCAGCAATGCGCAGCATTCCAGCCAGGTCTTTGGCTTTCAGAGAAAGGAAAGAACGTAAGTCTGGCCCACCACCCCTACCACAGCCTCTCAGCCATTCCCTCCAGTCTCCGGGGGAAATGGAGCGGACAACCAACAAGGACCAGCAGATACTGAGTTAAAGCTATGTGAAGGATCTGGCCCAAGGACACCTTAGACTATACCCCAGCAATGCGTAAGGCATGCAGGTGACATGGTACAGGCTACGGGGGTCTTGAGAGGGTAAGGGTCCCGTGTTTGGGGAGGAAAGGCAGAGCAAATATGCAAGCACTGCCACCCTGAGTTCTTGGGCCTAGTTTGCACAAAGCCAGGCTTCTGTTCAGACGGTTTGGGCGGAGCTAAACAGCAGGCTTCTCTAGAGAGAAAATAGAAAGGAACAATGAACGCAGGAGGGGGTTGTGGGTAGAATAAGAAGAAAAGAAACTCTCCTAGTGTACAGGGGTCAGAGAACAAGCCCCCTGGGGCTCCAGTCCTGACGAAGGCAGCTGGAGAGCCTCTTGCTCTTTCTACTGGGACTTCAATTCTTGTCCAGTTCTGCAGAGTCCAGTGAGACAACAGTCCATTTCCCTATCCTTAAACTGTTATAAACGTCACACCATTGTGCCAGCCCACTAAACCCCGACACAAGACGTCAAATTGCCTTCCTCAGAGAAGTCCTACCAAATCATCTGGGTCCAAGGAGTTCTGGTGTATGGTGCATCCCTGAGTTGCTGCTCCAGGCTGTGGACCAATCTGTCTCCAGAAATAACAAGTGTACCCAGGCTGCCTAGGTGACTGACTAATGAAACTCAGAGGATAAAGGGTCCCACACCTGCTGCCTCCCGGCAGCACACAGCTACTCTGTCATGCTCTCAACCTGCCTCTACTCCAGCACCTCGTGGTGGCACATGGACTAGACAGAGGCAGGCCTGCTGTGCTGGGCAGTCCTCCCTGGAGAACTCACACTTTACACACACCTTGCATGTGCATGCCAGAGCCCAGAGGTTATAAAGGTAGGGAGAAGTTAGGTCAGAGGGTGCAACCAAGAAATGGCCTGAAAGCAAATAACCAATGAGATCAGTAAATC